TATGTCTGTTTGTGTGGTTTTTTGGGGTGTGGTTTTTTGTTTGTTTGTTTGGGTGTCTAGGCTGGAGGTTTGCTGGTTTTTTTTTGGGTGTAGGTTTATTTGTTGAAGATGGCAAATATTTTTTGATTAAATACATACTCTTGAATTTTTAATAAGTACCAGAAAAGTCAAGGTTGTGCCTTGTTTGACTGTGGACTCGGAGTTTGGTAGGTAGAGCCAGAGGCTTGAATCTGAGGTAGTGCTCAAGGGTAATTTGTAGGCAGTTGCTACGGGTACGGTAGCCGTATCTAATGTCTCGAGGCTACGGCGTACGGGAGTCCATTCGCTTCATACTTAACGAGACAAAGATGGCGGCCGGTGGCGCCATATTTCGAAATAACGCCTTGGGAAATAATTCCGATTTGAGAGTTTAGATGAGCTAGAACCCTAACCCTAACCCTAAACCCTAACCCTAACCCTAACCCTAACGCCAAAAAGGGGCTTCAACGAACAACGGCTACCGTACCTCCAGCCACTGCGTAATCGTAATTTGTATCAAGCATCATCTACCATTTTTGTTAGCTCAGCTAACGAAGTCAGATGCAGCTTGTAGAATCGCATGATTGTTCGTGCGTCCGTCCGTCCGTCAACAGTTGGGCACAAATCTTAACCGCTCGACGTACGGGGGTTGATAGTTCTCTTGATATTCAGGACGTCGAGGGGGGGGGCATTGCAAAAAGCACTCGGGACGTGAATTGGGGGTCAGGGTCAAAGGTCGAGATGTGTTCAATGGGGGGAATATTTCCCCATAACTCAAGGTATAGGAGCAAATACGGAATTGCGGACCAAAAGAAATCTCAACGGCTCGACCTACACTCTTAATATTCGGTGTATAGTGTGATGGGAAGGAAACCCATCACCACTGCGAAATTGGAGGTCAAAGGGCAGTGGGGGAAAGTTCAGATATCAGACATTTTCTGGGGACATGGTCTAACGGAACGAGTGCAAAACTTTTTTGTTTCAGCGCTGACCTACCGTTTTTATCACTTTATTGAAAGTACCATGAAATCTACTTTCCACTGACGTGCGAAGAGTAAGTGTCTGATAACCTTTTGACCCTCAAGAGGAGGGTTAAACATGGATTTGTTGACTGTTAACAAAGGACTGAACTGCTTTATTAGAGCTCCCTCCACCCTCTCCCCACCACCACCACTATGCTCGCGCTCGATGCATATCCATGATAACGTTAATATAGCGAAGTCATTAAAGTTAGACAGATATCTTTATTACTGTACTACCGGTATTATAGCAAAGCCTATCAATGCGGTGGCGGGAGGGCGCACTTGATTCGATTGCCAGTGAGTTTATCAGAAGAATACCCGGCTACAGTACACGTCAGTTGAACGCTGTCGCTCTGCGGCACTTGTTATATTGTATGTTAGATGTAATGGCCATTATTGGTCTACACAGATGCATAGGCCCAAACCTAGTTTAGTACCCCTGATTAGTTAAGCACATGCGAAAACAAATTTGCAGGGTCCCAAACTATCCTTGAACTTTGAAGTTGATCAGATTCATACAGTGTATATGAATCTGTGTAGACCAATGAATGGCAATGCCAATGATATGAATATATCAATTGTGCTCTATAATTGAACTTGACAGTGTCCTAGGACTAAGATGTAGTCTAGGACCCCATAGGACCTGATAAGTACGGGATTAGTAGTACAGTAAAACTCGCATAAGTCGGCACTTTTGGGACTAGAATTTTTGTGCCGACTTACATAAATGACGATATACGCGTAAGTCGTCATTTTGTCATGTTGTATTATATATGGGGGGGGGGAGTGGGTGGCTAGCCACCCCTCTGTGGCTAACAATATTTTTACACATGTGACCAATTAGTTATTGCCAAGTGACGCGGCTGTACAAAACAGCACCTGATGCATGGGTTAAATGATGTAATTGAGTGGCAAATCAGGTTACAACCCTTTTGCCGATTTTTTTCACAATTCCAGGAAAGAGTTTGCTGTTGCCCTGATCCCAGTGGTGGTCACCCCATACATATTCAATAATGAACACGACTTAAACAATGCCCCCTTCCCTCCGTACATCAATCGATGCCGCACTACAAGCGCACGAATTGGTTTACAAACAAGAGAATTGTCGTAGTCAGAATGAAGCTTGTACATGTACTCAAAATTGCCTCAAATACCATCTCCTGCGATCTACATTTGAAAAAATTTTCTGGTGGAGGGACCCCATACGCCCCGTCTGTTTCTCACCTGCCTCCTTGAAATCCTGGATCCGCCACTGATTTATATGTACGCACATGCACATTTTTAAATCAACATACTTTTTCTTACAGATGTGTACAGCTAGCTCCTGTTGCTGCTAACAAGAAACATGTCACAAGCAACAGAATATGTGTCTGATGAGACTGGTGCCAAGTTTATCGCTGCATCCCAGCGTCCAGATGGCACTTGGAGGAAACCACGTAAAGTAAAAGAAGGGTTTGTTCCACAGGAGGAAGTGCCCGTCTATGAGACAAAAGGCAGGCAGTGGGTAAAAAGTAGACCAACTGGACCTGTTGGTACGTATCCTCGAGGAAGCAAAACTGTCATAGCGGACAGCCCGAGGATTGAAATTATACCTGTTGCTTTATTTATTTGATTGTGAGTGCGTGCGTGCGTGTGTGCATGCGTGTGTGCATAGGTGTGTGTGTGCATAGGTGTGTGTGTGCGCACGCATTCATGTGTGCGTGTACGTGCGTGTGCGTGCGTGCGTGTGATTGTGTATGTGTGTATGTGCGTACGCATGCGTATCTGTGTATATGTATGTATGTGTATCAGGGCTGTAGTGGCCTCCCAAAATGTGCTACTGCAGAAAAATGTAGGATCACCCAGTAATAATAGCATAAGTGGCGGTTATGGTGTGTGCCGGCACACATGGCGAACGCCGCAGTCGCAAAGCCCATTCGGGGGGTCTGGGGGGCCATCCCCGAGAAAACTTTTGAAATTTAGTCTGGAAATGCAGGAAATGCCATTTCCAGGCTCTAAATTTCAAAAAAAATTTATGTTGAAAGCAACCAATTCTGATCATTTTAAAAGGTCAATTTGTAAATTTCAAAAAGGATGTAGCTAAAGCTGATGTTTTGACTAAAGTATCTAAAATATATATTACGAGTATGATAACTTATTAAACATTGTTTACAAAATTGTATATACTATCCCTATCAGTACGGGTACATATCTTTCTGAAAAATAAGCCTATTTTCAATCAGCATTTATACTTTCACTATCCTCTGTATGTTTTGAATCACAATACCTTTGTCATATTAAATACACATTCAAAACAAGGGGAAAATGTTTTTTTTCACGGGAGCTCTTTTTCTAGTCTGTGGGGGAAAAAGCTCCCGTCAAAAATTTTACCAGAGCTATTTTGAGCCTCACGGGAGCAATTTCGGAGGTTTGAAGAGAGAATCGCTCATCGCTCCCGTGTATTTTTTACCCTGATTCCAAATCTTAGAGCACTGATATAACACCTCTAATTGATCAGTATTAATAGTAATACCAGACAGTTCAGTCAGATAACAGTCAGCTCCTTGGTTCCCTGCAAATTATTTTTTTTCAAAATAGTGCCACGGCAGTGCCGTGCTGCCGTGGCGGCCACTACGGCCCTGTGTATAAAGTATTGTTTTATTTATTTTAAGGTCTTGCTCCTGTAGTAAAGGAAGCCTCACCAGCAGCCCCTATGTCCAAGAATGCTAAGAAACATGCCAGGAGGAAGGAGAAGAAAAAAATTACGGAGGAATCTGTGACAGAACAACTCGAGGTATTCACAATAGAGGAACCTGATTTTGGTGAGGATCCACAAAGTAAATCTCATAACAAAGCTGTCAAAAGTCAGCCTGTCTCTTCGAACTTGCGGCCAGTGCCACCAAACAGCGATAAAGGGGATTCGGCTGGCATTGAGAAGAAGATAAAGAACCTGAAGAAGAAGATACGGCAAATCGATGACCTGAAAGCGAAAATTGAGTCGGGAGATCTGTCCGTTCCTGATCCCGACCAGATAAATAAGGTTGAAAAGAGAAGTGAGTTTGTGGATGAACTAGAGGATCTAGAAGTTCTACTCGACACTCTTTAAGGCAGCCACAGATTGGAAGCAATCTGTCATGCAGAATAAACAGCTGTGAAATGTGACAACTGAAATAGGTTATGTAAACTACTCAAACAAGTCTTTACTTTGTAACCCCTTAAAACTTCTAGCCGTACTGTTATTAAAATCTATTTGGGATAGTTCTTGATAACTGGTAGCATTGTGACTTACTCATCACCTGTTATGAAGCACTGTCTCTGAAAGAATGTGCTGTAGCTATCTTGTCTGCGAGAGGTAAATTTCGCCATTTTTATAGTATTTAACGTGCAAGTCTTTAAGGTCTACTGTGAACAGTGGACTTCATTTTCACATTGTTTTATTAGCTTGTGTCAATTTTCATATAACATATTGCTAAGAAAAAGGTACCACACAGTGTAGTGCTCACAAATATATGAAATCATAAAATTAATGTACAGAGCGAGAATAAAAATTGCTGTACAAAGCTTGCAGAGAATAAGGGACAGTTCCATCTTCAGAATGAAATCAATTTCAAATATTTATTGAATATCATTTGCTTTTTGTTATTTTCCACCTCTGTATAATTTTCCAGGGGCCCATTGTCAGAAACAAAATTAGTCTTGACATTAGTCTTAACATTAACTTTTTCTCTTAGACCATTGACAGAAACGCTGCGAAGCTACCTGAATCAAAATTCGTAGCAGATTTCCTCATAACAATACAAAACAAAGTGCTGTCGACGGTCTACGAGACAATGTTGGTGTAAAGACTAATGTTAATGTTTTGTTTCTGACAACGGGCTCCAGACTTGCTGCATTTTATCTCGCCAAGTCCTTACACATGCATTGTTAGTTAAAGGGTGCTTTTTACAGCTCGGTAAGAGACTGCATCCATCCCGTAACTTTACAATTTTAAAACATGTTTTAGATGTATACAATGTCACTATGTGTACTATGTCTGAATTACAAAAAGATGAATGAACATCCTTTGGTGTTCACTGGTTTAATCTTGACTGTAACTGCAATTGCCTGTGGTAGTGTTAAATAAAACAAAAAATATCTCTAAATTGTTACGGTCATGTATATTAATGTTTCAAATTGACAAAAATTATTTAAAAGCCAGTTATCGGAACCGCTCTCAACTAAAAACTGCAAAGAATCGTCTGCTGTGAAATATGTAGGTGCGATGTGATTGGCTAATTGATAATAGCTTTACCAAATGAATTTCTTAGACTTGAAAGAAATGAGAAGCTCATAGCACTCCATTGTTTGGGGTACCACAGTGGCATGGCAGCTGGGCTCGTAACCATCTAAACTGTTAATCGAATACTTGCCAATCATACACTACTACGCCACTGTAGTTTTTATGGAGGGGAATATAATTGTAGATGCTGTTGCATGGTCAATGGCGAATTGCCCAGTCATGTGCCCGGAACACAGACTGCACATGGATTTGCCTCCCAAGGAAAATGGATCACATACCTCCATTTTCTGTAAATCTCAGCATGTTGATGATAACTGGAACAAATTGGAATGAATTGCTAAGAAGTGCCGCAGAGCGACAGCGCTCAACTGACGTGTACTGTAGCCAGGTATTCTTCTGATAAACTCGCTGGCAACCGAATCAAGTGCGCCCTCCTGCCACCACATTCGCGCTCAGAGCATATATATCTACATGGTTCGTACAGTCCTTGAAAAGTCCTTGAATTTGAGGGGAGTCCTTGAAAAGTACTTGAATTTAGTAAATGTTGATTTTGTGCTTGAAAAGTCCTTGAATTTCATGAAAATGTGCTTGAATTTCATAAAAATGTCCTTGAATTTTTAGAAAGAGTCATTGCCTGTAATAAAAAGAAATTTTGTACCATCAATAATGTGTAAACCTCAATAAAAATTGCGTTAAATGAGCTTAAAAAGCTATAGACACGATAGACAGTTAAATGATGATCACAAATTACAGTAAGTCACTAAAATCAGTCAGTAAATCAAGGTATGTTGTAGAAGTGACACGGTATGTGTTTAGAAGGGTTTATTAATGTGATCCAGGTAAGTTTTAGAGGTGACATGCAGTGATTAAGAATGGGGTTCTTAAATTAATCCAGGTATGTTTTGTTCTGTGTATGAATTCCGATAAAATGTCTGATAAAATGTCCTTGAATTTCCGATAAAATGTCCTTGAAGTCCTTGAAAAAAAATTCAGTCTTCCTGTACGAACCATGATCTAGGATACTACTAATACAGATCTAAAATCTATGATAGGCTTTGCTATACCTACTGGTAGTACAGTAATAAAGATAACTTCAATGACTTCGCTATATTAACATGTTATCATGGATATGCGTCGAGCGCGAGCATAGTGGTGGTGGTGGGGAAGGGGGGAGGGGTGGGTGGAGGGGGCTCTAATAGCAAAGGCAGTTCAGTCCTTTGTTAACAGTCAACAAATCCATATTTAACCCTCCTCTTGAGGGTCAAAAGGTTATCAGACACTTACTCTTCGCACGTCAGTGGAAAGTAGATATCATGATCCTTTCAATAAAGTGATAAAAACGGTAGGTCAGCGCTGAAACAAAAAAGTTTTTCACTCTGTCCGTTAGACCATGTCCTCAGAAAATGTCTGATATCTGATCTTTCCCCACTGCCCTTTGACCTGTGACCTCAAATTTCGCGCTGGTGATGGGTTTCCTCCCCATCACTATACATTGAATGTTAAGAGCGCGCATAGGTCGAGCCGTTGAGATTTGTGCCGCAATTCCGTATTTCCTCCTATAGCTTAAGTTAAGGGGAAAATATTCCCACTCCATTGACACATCTCGAACTTTGACCCTTGACCCCCAAATTCGACATCCCGAGTCCTTTTCGCGATCCCCCCCCCCCGACGTTCCGAATATCAAGAACGTACGTCTAGCGGTTAAGATTTGTGCCCAACTGTTGACGGACGCACGGACGGACAGACAATCATCCGATTCTACAAGCATCTGACTTCATCAGCTGAGCTAAACATGTAGGATGGGTGGAATCAGGTTGTGGTTCTCTAGATAAATTGTTAGTCTAATAATATTAATTGCTCAAAATTGAATTCCCCTTAATTCTCTGGAGTGTGGTACTGAAGCACAATGGCGAGCCAGTAGCTGCTCACATAAGGAGAGTGAGCGGGTGGTGGGGTCAGGGGTAGGGGTAGGGGTGGGGGGAGGTCTCCTCAGAACAATGTTGATTTTAGACTATCTGAGATGCATCCTTCAACTCAAATAAGTTATTTTAAAACAAGAAGTGAACTTCAGTGCAATGGCAATCGGAAAATTGCTATGTATGGTAACTAAATCAATGATCATGAAGTTAGCCGCATTGAGTATGTCATCAGTCCTTATTTTCACAAGTAACTAATGTTGAGCCCATGGTCATGATTGACCATCTTCCAGTTGCTCCAATGGCTTTGTAACAACGCAACGCTGGAACCAGATGGTTGTCATCGAGACGTGATAACGTTAAGTTCTACAATTTTCTGCTGTTTTACACTTAAATCTGATGGGATCAGTTGCACAAAAAGTAGTCATGGATTTGAGTATTAGCGGTACTCGTCACCATGGCTGGTCAAACAAGACACGTTACAAGCCCTTACGGATTTCTACTAGCCTCGGGTGAGCAGGCGAGCATTAGTTCCAAGCGCTGGTAACCTGAACAAAATACTTGGGTGGAAGGGGATACACAATTTCTTGACCAGAGTAACGACAAGGGAATATCACACTGCACAGGCATGCTAAAATTAAGCTGGAGGGATAACTATTTTCATTCATTTATCACATTTATTTTTGTATCCCTCACTATTGTACTCTGACTGTCTTGTCATCAGCAGGTTAGGTGCAGAAATATAGGAACAGAGCACAGCTATCATCAGATCATAAGTGTATGTAACATAATTGTCTAATGTTCAACCGAACATATATGTTCCATATTTTGACATATTGCCTTGGATGTTAACTCTGAAAATTGATTTACTTGAACTCTAACTAAAGTTTTCAGTTTTGAATTTCTTATGTAGAAAATTACAACAATAACCACATCTATTCATTTGTTGATCATTTTTAATAGTAATACAAATGATCACCAGCCTATAATAGTTCCATAATGGATTTACACCATTTTTTGAGCTACACCGCAGACGTAAATGTACTGTTAATGTTATTAATGGTAAATACACAGTACCTTGTTAATACAAGTATCCGACTGATTATTCTTTTTTAATACATATTTGATCAACCATGGTCATGTAAAGTGGATACCCCTAGAATTAAAAGCATGTAAGAGACCCAAAAAGTCGTCAATGTCCATTGAACGGGGTCGTTTTTTATCAAAGTTTCCCTCTTCTAAAATCGCAATAATAAATGCTTTCGTATCAAAATCACTTGGAATTGTGATTCCATTCACAGAACAGTGTATCCTGTAATTTTTTTCTAACAATTCCAGTACATTTGATTGTCTGAAAGCAGCACTTAGTGTCTTGTTTTTTCGCACAAATGCAATGCGAACCAGTCCATCCCACTCTTGAAAATTCACACTGGGTGGAGGATTTCTCGGCTCAATTCTGACAACGGAAGACTCGACCTTCGGCGGAGGGCGAAAATTATTCTTGCCAACTTTCATCAAATGATCGACACGTGCAAGCAGCTGCGTGTTGATCGAGAGTCTACAGTACAGTTTATCACCAGGTTGCGCCACCAGCCTCTGAGCAAACTCTCGTTGAAACATCAAAACTGCACATCGGAAAAACGGCCTGTGAAGTAGAAGCTTGAACACAAAAGGAGAGGATATCTGGTAGGGCAGGTTGGCTACACACACGTCAAAAAACGGTAGTTCAGACTTTAACACATCACCGACAATAAGATGTAGCTTCGTCTGTATCGGTGTCCCTTGCACTCTTTTCTGGAGCTCTGCTGCTAGTCGAGGATCAACTTCACAAGCAATGACCTTCTTTACTTTATCCATCAGTTTAACTGTCATGTTACCTGTTCCTGGTCCAACTTCTAGTACGACATCTGTTGGCCGCAGTGCAGCTTTTTCTACTAAACTGTTCACCACTAAAGGATTTTTTAGAATATGTTGACCAAGATCTCTATTGAACTGAATACCCTGCCTTTGTACTTCTTCATGCTGGCGTGACTTCTTCGCAGCTTTTACCTTTGGCATATTGAAAGTCTGTGATGATGTCAATAGTATATTTATGGAATAATCTTCATCTGTTTTCAATTCTAGAAGAAAAGAACAAACATAACTGTTAGGATAATAGAATTTACTTTAGAGCTTGATGATAAAATAGCTTCCAAGTTCTACTTTACAAAGCATAAAACTAGTTTATTACAAACCATTATTTTCACATAAAATATGGCAATGTAACTGGTATTACCAGATTATTACCAGACCATTATTAGAAACACTTTAGTCTTAACATTATTCATAACATTGATTTTTATCTCAAAGATCATCATAACAGTATTATTATGTCATTATGTGACAAAAATGTAATTTTTTTAGCATATTTTCTTGTAACATTATAATGTCTTGCAACTATCAAAGAAATTCCACAACAGATATCAATTTTAATAATAGTATATATTATAATGATTAAAACCTGTATTTTTCATTTTTTTAAAACACATTGGAAACACTACCTGTCTCCCAATCACGCTCTAAAACCAAAATTTATGCTAGTCCAGCAGCAGAATCGGAAAAAAGGCCCTAAATAAGGAAATCGTAGCACCTCCACTACACAATTGTCAATTGGTTTGACTTCGGATTATGGTAGAGAAATACCTACAGAATAAGTTTATTGAGGGTGTACTAATGAATTGTGGGGAAAGGGAGTGTGATACATGACGATTTTTGGAGGGGGGTGGGGGTCAAATAATAATGAAGTAAATGCACATATGGCACCATGTCAATGATTGTAATGGGTATATCTCTGGAACCGATTTGACACAAATTTGGACTGTGTATCCAGCACCTGAACAAAATAAAGTTATCCCCGGACCCGTGGGATGCTGCTATGGCAACAGTTGCTAGGGGCAACCATACAATATACAGGAGAAAGTCCTGATTATGTATTCAAATAAATTTTTCAAATAATTTTCCTCTGAACGATGAGAAAAACACTTTTCTTAGAATATTCAACAATTTTGAATATTGTTTTACCCATAATGCACTGGGAAGCTAATTCTCAAGGCAGCCTTCTTGGATTTTCGTCTACATGAGGTACGTTGCTTTCTCTATTTTCTGTGTTAAATATTCACTTATAGCCACATTTTATTATTAATTACAATGGAAAACATTCCCTAAGGCTAAACCATTAGAATATTTAGAAAAACTGTCTTTTAACCACCAAATAGAATAAATTTTGCTTGCTAAGAAGAAAGATGAACGGCAACAAATAGTAACCAACAAAGACAAGTTGTCCGATAGTTTGAGAAGATGCGAGGACACCATGAACGTTAATGAAGAACATGCCGATCGGTTTAACGTTGTGTGTGAAGACGTGGTCGCCATTCTTCAGCTCTTTAAAGAGTTCAAGCGAGAATCATGCTTATAATCGCAACTCTTTAACTTCTGGAACAGTTACATAGAAATTGTACTGGTCCTGCTGAGATTTGTCAGGGCAGAGCGCGAAGGTAATTGGTCACTTCACCTTGCTGCAACAGCAGAGATGCTTCCACACTTCTGGTCAATGGACCGCCCCAACTACTCGAGATGGATTCCAATTTACCTTGCAGACATGAACAAGTTGAGCGAGAAGGCTCCGGAGGTTCACCAAGAATTTCTGCAAGGGAAACACTGTGTTAGCAGATCTTCTCAGGCATTTTCGCAAGTCTGGACTGATATGGCTTTAGAGCACACGGTCAATCGTGACTCCACGACAAGAGGGTGTATTGTCAGTATAACACAGAAGTCTGGTGCAATGCAGAAGTGGTTTCTTACCGCCCACGAGAGAGCAGCATATTCCGCAGCAACCAAGGAGATGTGCAATTCTGGCGAGAGCAATGAACGAGTAGGCACGCACAAAGAAAGTGGAAACCAGAGGCTAAAGAGGGACGAAAAAGATGTACAGAAACTACTGTCTACCGTCAATGGCATTATGTCTAGTGCCTCAAGTTTCCTGCTTTATAAATGTCAAATTCTGCTTTTTTCTGCTTTACAAATCTCAAATTCTGCTTTTTTCTGCTTTACAAATCTCAAATTCTGCTTTCTTCTGCTTTCTAAATTTCGCCATTCTAAATTTCACCAAAAGCGTTCGAACGCGATTGTTCATTGTTGGGCGCGCTGGTGTATTTGTATGCAAGAGATGAAAAACCGGTTGAACGCGTTGAATGCGAGTGATCAGCCGGGCCGATCGCGAGCGAAATACGCTGACGTGAGACGCGCGCCAGCCCGACCCGCGCACACCGCGTAGACCTGGCACCGTATTTATCGATCGCAAGCGACCAGCGTAGAAAATCGCACAGTGTGTCCTAGGCTCCTAGTCCGTTAATTTTTACATCTTTTTTCAAGACCGAGTTTTCCGCTTTCTCCTCCAAAACTTTGGGGATTAATTATGTCAAAGCCATTTACAGTAGTGAATAAAGATAGTAATGAAGTAATAAAATTGTCAAATCTTGCTACTGGTGTGGTTATGCCCTCGGATATCGCAAATCGCCTACTTTCTGCATCAAGTAGGCGATTTGCGATATCCGAGGGCATAACCACACCAGTAGCAAGATTTGACAATTTTATTACTTCATTACTATCTTTATTCACTACTGTAAATGGCTTTGACATAATTAATCCCCAAAGTTTTGGAGGAGAAAGCGGCAAACTCACTAGAAAGCGACCACAAAGAGGCGGACACACGAATGTTGCTGCACGCAGTCTGTATATATAACGACCACAAGAGAGTAGTTATACAGTCACCGGACACAGATGTGCTGTGTGATTTAGCACATTTGCTGCTTTGCCGTGTGAGCAATTGTGGTTCCGCACTGGTGTAAAAGACAAGCTAAGGTATATACCCATTCACAGCACTGTAGACAAACTAGGCGAAGAGCTGTGCTCCTTGCTTCCTGGATTGCATGCATTGACAGGATGCGACACTACTAGTGGTCTATGCCAGATTGGTAAGAAGAAGGCATGGAAGGTAGTCAAGAATAACCCTGCAGTGCGCACTGGTCTTGTGAGTCTTGGAGAGGCGACACCCCCCATCTGATGACACTGTCGTTATATATGTGAGTGATTCATTTGCCCAGCATACACATCATCAACGAAAGCTGGTAGTACAGCAGATGATGTTCGCTATTGGATGTTTTGCCAGAGAAAGCAAAAGAACGAGGGTCTTCCACCAACCTCCAACAGCCTTTATCAACACATTCTGCGAGCCAACTACCAGACCTTTGTGTGGAAGAGATGCCTGACACCACAACAGCAGCTGACCTCTCCTATAGGAAATGGGTGGTCGAGAACAGACGATGGAACACTTCAGCCTGTGCTCATGACAAAGGACCCAGCTCCTACTGGCCTTATCGAATTGACGACATGTAAATGTGACAAGTCCTCGTGCTCAAGAAGCAACTGTTTACGCAAGACAAATGCAATGCCATGTACTGATGCATGTAGATGCATGAGTGACGACAGCTGCCGCAATCAGTAACTTCAGATGGGGAAGGCAGTGATGAAGAACAATAGGAACTCCATGGGCACAGAATTTGTTAGATTTGATAAGTACATAGCCTACCTGTGATTCGAAATAGATATTGTTGCTAAGTAAGGTTGAATGCGTAAGATACCTTAAAACTTGATGGAGATGACAGTGAGTCTCCAATCTTGTTACCAAGTAAGGTTTAAGGTACCTCAGCGACTGCAGAGCGTGAAATATAAGCTAAAGCTATTATGTGATTATATAAGCCATTCTCCCATCGTATCACAGCACTAACCCTACTCATAACTTTATGATGTTTCTGACAATGGACTTAGACTGCTTATATCAATATTTGTATATCTAGAATAATTGTTATATCTTCCTCCATCGTTTTAAAAGGACACATTACACTATCTGACCTTCTCACCGTGTCCACTTTCTCCATGCAAAATTTATACCCTTTCATAAAATTTACCATGCTCAGGCAAAGAATGGCCCCCCTTTTTCCTTAATAAAGCCCATTTGTAGCACTCGACTGAGCGTGACCATTGCTTTTGACATGAACCATCTTCAAAGGATTCCTTTAAGTTTAGATTAACTCTCTCTGACTTCGACATAGTCCCTTGGTCCTGAGTTAGTTTCAAGTACCACATAATCATTACTAGAAAATAAGTGACTGACTGGAGATGGGGCCACTAATCTGAGGTCATAGGTGATCATCTGAGCCACAGGGGATTAACTGAGACTGTCTCCTACAATGAGAGCTAAATTTGTACACATTGAGAAAATTCACTGCTTTAACTGAGATTTCCACTCACAGCCTTCCAATCCAAGTTCTGCACATGAGAGGATTCAAAGGATGACATATATGTACTAGTTACATTGCTAACCACCGCAAGCAAACGCAAACATAATGATATTGCACTGCAGGGCTGCCAACTTTGAGTTACACATGTTACAGTTAAGAGTGAGATTATGCGAGGGAGCGGAGCGACCGAGCGGGGGGAGAGTGTATTAGGGCACCCCCCCCCCTCCCACACCAAGAAACTTTTCCATTTTTCAGCTTGAAATTGTGCATTCTGGTGCGTACTTAATTGAGTTTTTAAACACACACATATATGTAATGCGATACACTGTAGTTCTGCTTTTAGACGGATTATAGGTACATGTATATATATATATCATGGATGGCTCAAAACAACACATCACTAGATCCTGCTTGGAATTGTATTTATATGACCTCTACTGTTCAATGTTTGGTCCTTTACTCTGCTTATAAGGTGACAGTCAAACTCAATATGTATAAATATGACTTATGCAGGGGTATAAATTAACTTTTGAACACGGGAGTCCAACGCGGGTTAGGGTTAGGGTTAGGGAGTAGGTGCAGGCGACTTCCTAGACTCGTTAGTGGAGTAGGCGAGGTACGGTCCGGTATATTAGATAGTACCAGGGTACGTTCCGGCACTAACCCGGGGGACATAGACCCTCTCAGCGATACTTACCTCTAGTACTATAGCCCGCGTACAGTTGCCGCAGGGCTGCGGCAGCCACAGGGACCTGAGGCAAAAAAAAAGAAGAAAGTTATATATATATAAAGTCTAAAGAGAAACTTCTCTAATATATATATAATATATATCTTTTCTTTCTTTTTTTCGCCTCAGGTCCCTGTGGCGGCAACTGTACGCGGGCTATAGTACTACTACTAGAGTTAGAGAATACTTTGTTGTTTTTGTGTTTTTTTTCATCTTTTTGTTTCTGTATGTGTGAGAATTACAATTACTGAATTAGCAGACCCGGAGTGATCGAGAGCGTGAGATTAGGTTAATCTTAATTGCGCGAGTCTCAAGCCGAATCTTGCATAGTTTGGCAGCGCAAATGCGGCAATACTAGCCTAGGCAATCATAACGGCACTAGTAAGGTACGAGAGTACCATAAAAACATAACCGCATATAGTAACATGCATACGTTAATACGAAAACTACTTACCAATGTAAAACAGAACAAACAAAATACGCGTGGAACGCACTGGAAGCAGA